GGCTAAAGTTTTTGGTGCTACCCAATGCTGTGGCGTCTCTCCAGTCAAGAACTGATAGATGGCTTTAGTGCACTCTACAGTTGCACTTATAGAGGTTTGTCCTATATTACTAATATCGGTAGCTAATTTTACAAAATTTGCACTATATTCCTTATTATTAACCTTAAACAATTTATTAGCAGCACGTCGAAATTGGGTGGGCCGAATTCTTTTTGCTTTACAGATGGCTTTTTGAATTTTTGAAGTTTGTCTTAACTTTGATCGGCTTATCATTCCTACCCGTGTAGATAATGAACGAAATCGAGCATTGATTGCAAATTCTTTTCTTTTTAAGCGCTGGTTTTCTTGTTTTAAATTTTTATTATTTAATTTAAACATATCGATAGTATGACCGTGTTGATAAAGGCTAGCATCAATAAACTCATGTGCCTTTTTTTGTAAATAGGTAGAAATTATCTCGCCCTTATGAATTTCTTGAGTGTAGGTTGCATTTTGAAAGAGATTCAATGCATTGAGTACTTGTTGGTCGGGTAAGTTACAAACGCATATAAATATATCATTGCGTTTTCTTTGAATATAGGTGCTCATTTCTTGAGATTCGAAAATTTTTTTTATTATAGAATTGAAATCATTATCATTTAATTGTTTAAATGATGAAATCAGGTAATCGAGCAGTTGTCTTTGAACACAAGTAGTCATTTCTCTGGATTCAAATATTTTTAGCATCAAAGAACTAAATTCATTGTCATTTAACTGAGAGAATTTTGGAATCAGATGATCAAGCAGCATCGGGGGATTATTTATGTGATCCCGTAATACTTTTATTTGATCGCATTCCCGTAACTTTCTAATATTTTTAAGATGTTTATTTTGTGATCTTAGTTTACCCATTTTATAAACAGATGTCCAGTTGATAGGAACGAGAAAGTTTGATGGAAGAGTTTTATGAGTATGTTATTTGAGTTAGGTAAAATTATGATGAGGTTGGAAGAAGCAATTTTTTAGATTTAGAATTTTAATTTTATATTCTTGTTATCAAGTAGTTATCAATCAAGTTGAATGCTCTCACCACGATGATTTCAAAAAATGGTGGAATTTACGAAACAATAGAATCGTGAATTACAGAAAACAGATTTGATAATTACGAAATAGGCTCATGTTGGAATATATTATTTATTGAATTGGGATTTATGATGACAATTATTATTGTTTGCTTTGAAATTAAGTATACTATAGATGAATAAATAACGTTTTTACTAAAACACATTTTTAAGTACGGCGCTGATACTTATTTATTATATATTCACATTAAATCAGCGTGCATTGGAATCAAAGTTTTCTTTATTATTTAATTATATGCAAAAAAAAGTAACTTATTAAGTAAATATAAGACTGCATAAATTTAAGATTGTATTATTTAAGTATAATAACGATAACTTTTAATAAATCTATTTTTTTATTGATAAAAAGTATTATAACATTTGACATATAACAATAAAGAGAATTCTCTATATCGAAATGCAATTTGATTAAAGACGAATCTGAGAACGTGCTTCATTATTGATTATCGCGAAAAATAAATAAAATACAATACATAGAATAAATAATATATCACTCTTTCTAATAGCTCATAAATATGATTATAACACGCCAGAATTATATACAATAATAACCATTAAAAGCCAATGATATATAAATTTGGATGATATGCCGCAATAACTTCTAAAAATGAGCACCAAAAACCTTCAACATATTAATGATTTCTTAAAAAATAAGTATCAAAACCTTAAACTCAATCGATATGCATTAATAATTTCTAATCGAGAGTAAGTATAATCAGAAAATATGTTCTACAATAAAACTTAGATTGAAATAAAATTCTAATATTACTATGTTAGGATATATTTCGTATTATACGTGAAAACAAAAAAAAGTATACTTGCCATATATGAAAGTAAAGACATGCATTAATTATTTCTAATCAAGGGTAAGTATAAATCAAAAAACATGTTCTACATTGCAATATAATGACTCTTAGATTGCTTTTTACTAAATAAAATTACTACGTTAGGACGTATTTTGTATTATACGTAGAAACAAGAAAAAAAAAATACTTACTGTATATGAAAGTGAAGACATGCACTAATTATTTCTAATCGAGGTCAGAAAATATATAATACAGTGAATATTAGATCGCTTTATACTAAATAAATCCCAGTATTACTATGTTAGGACATTTCGTATTATACATTTAAAAAAAAAAGTATACTTGCCATATATGAAAGTGAAGACTTCTAGATACTAATCTGGAAGATAATTACTATTATTAACATGTGTTCAAATTAGATTGATAAAAACCTTAGATAAATAAACACTCTTTTATCTTTGCGTACTTAGCTTGTTTTAGGTGTATTAAGTTAAATGCGATAAACGATTTATGAAACAGAGAAATTTTCAACAATGCTAGGCAGATACTATTATTAGTACAATAACACGTTTCTACATTAGAATAATAAGAGCTCAAAAGTATCCTTTTCCTGGTGTATCTAGTATATATTAAATTAAATAAATGAATAAATTAATTTTTCTTGTATAAAATTCTTGTTTTAACTTTCTCAACAATTAGGATGATTAACATTTCACGTTGGCAATTGGCATTAACAATAAAATAATTCTGCATTACGAATTAATGATATATGTGATACAGATTTTTATTTTAGTGTATTAATGCCAGGACCATCAGAATTCCTATATAACAGCACCTATTTTCCTTAGAGTTAATATTAATATATCTGCACCTTCTTATATTGAAATGCCACCCAGACGCACTAAATCTCATTCCAAAGCATCTAATTCCTCTTCCTCTAAAAATAAAAAAATGCGTACTATATACTATCAGGATACAGAACCTAATATTTTCACTCATACGATTTACGGTTCTTTTCTAGTAAAAGCTAATGAGACTGGTACTAAGTTTTCAGCCTTTATAAAATTGTCCCCTATTCAAGACACTATAAACAAAACCTATCGAGATAAATATGTTAAATGGCATTTAATTAGCGTTAAAAGCATTTTCAAACCTGCTTTCGAAATAAATGGAACTGATAAAAAGATATGCTCCCTATATAGTGTCCTAAACCGCGAAGAGTCAACTAAAATTTCATTCAGTCGTTTGCTTGCATGCAGTGAAGTTAAGGAACATAAGACATACTTTGATGCTGAACAAAAATATGCTGCTAGATTGTCTGAAGAGGCCCCATGGTCTTCTACCCGATCAATGCCGTCGTCCGTGGCCACTCTTTGGTTCTTTGGGAATGTCTCTGACTTTACAAAGAATGAAGTAATAGGTAAAGTTGTATTTAAAAGCAATATTCAATATAAAGAATTAGCTGTTGAGCCGGTGGATAGCATAGAAAGTGGCGACCAATACCAGTCATTCGGAAACGGAGAGTTGGAGCTTGAACAAACCGAAATATTTGATGAATATCTTGTTAAACGCCTGATCTAAATAATGTATAGAATAAACATATCATATATTCATGTCATTTAGTTTTTTGTTCTATTATAAACATTCTTGCGTAGCGTGAATAAAGTAAAAAAAATTTGTAAAATTCGTTATCGTTATCTTTTATGTACAACGTGAGAGATCTATCACATGACTTTAAGTCTGGACAACTAACCTTGAAAAACAGTCGATTTTCATAAGTAAAATAAAATTCTAACGTTATTACATTGAAAAGATAACTTCTGTTAAACGTCCTATTGTTATAGAATTAAAAAACATTAAATATTACAGGAGAAATTAAAGGCGAAGTAAAGTCTTTTTTTCATAGTCGTTTGATATAGAGTGCAGATCAAAAAATTTTAATATAAAAAATCTTTATTAGTGATCATTATTATGCAACCTGCACTATGTTTGTAAATTGACTGATAGGCCACACCCCAATCTGCTATGCAATAAATGTCACGTTTATGCGCATATTATGTAATTGCAGATATGCACTAGCCCTAATCCCGAGTATTCATTCACCTAATTATCATATACGAATCTGGAATCCCTTCATTGCTATTTCTAAATTTAATATCTAATTTTTCTAATAATTTCCACACTTTTATACTGTTTTCCGATAAAATGATATAAACAAGTATGAAAAAAACCCGGCTCAGATCCTGTGGCGCAGATAAAGTTCATTGATGTTAGGATAGCCTTTATAACAAGGTTAGATATTAGGTAGTTACTGTATATAATAAAATCGCTCAAGAACCTTTTGTTAGAGCATTAAAGGTAGTTTTTTATGCCGATTTTTGAAAAATGAGCGATTTTTGACATTGTTTTGAAACTTCATGATCTTATTACGTTCACCTGATGATTTGTAGTTTAGCATAACCTGGCAACGTGTGGACGCGTAAGGATATAATCGCTTTGATCCCAATACCCAATACTTTTTAAGAACACTAACGCGCCAAATTAAGAAGTTTAGTCGACACGTCCTTTAAGTAATATGGATCGGCCGAATTACTCATTATATCGGACATTCGATTATCATAAATGCCTGCTAATCCAATGATATATCATAATAATTTTATGAATAATTATTTTATTAATAACTGTATCCTGTAATTGGTTCAATTATATTAAATATTACGGTATTATATTAGTTTTTTAAAATGATTTTTTTTTTGTTTTACAAAACTCACGTAATTATTTGTTTAAGATAATATAAATTATTTAATTTAGAAAACGTTCTCTCCACTTTTTTCCTTTTAAATATACAATCACCGTGCAAGAAGTGCCCAATATAATATACACTGTCAAAAGAGAATACATTAAACCGGTACCTAAAGTGTTTTCAAGTGGTTTCGAAGCGAAAGACATTATTGAGGCTGATATAAATCTGAAACAATTATTTACTGCTATAGCTGAAGCGCTTCGGCCAGGAAAAGCGTCGATCAAGTATGTTGACACACCACTAAATACTATCATTGTACCAAATCCGACTATAATTAGACAAAAAAAAAACAATTTTTTTTTAGTATTAAGATATACAAAAAAAAGAATAGAAATAATAGGAGAGTGACATACAAAAAAACATAGATAATATAGGTAAAGCAATATGAACATTCTTCACAATAAACCATCCATAAGCTAAAAATGAAACTGGGACTAACGCTGATCCAAGCCAAACACCTTTTATTCTTATTTCTGGATAAATACTACCGTATTTCTCCTTACTTTTAGTCAATATTAAGTCAGAATAACTTCCAGATATTACACTTCCCAAAAAGTGTCCAATACCAGGAGAAAGAAACACAAGTCCGACATCTGATGGAGACAGATTATACTTTGTTGAAAAAGTTGTTGGAACAAGGGTATTCTGGGCAAACATTACTGAAAAAATTATACTTATGTAAATTATTATTAAAGATAAATTTGGATAGCGAAGTAAAGTAAGCGGTAAGAATGGATTAAACCGTTTTTTAGGAGGTGATGTCGTGGTAAGTGACAACTGGGTGTGACGGAAAGTTTCAGGAAGTGCAAAGTATATGAGGACTAAAATGACCCCTCCATATATTGATAGAAACCAAAAAATAAATTTCCATCCAAGGTATTGAGTTATGTAGCCGCCTATGACTGGGCCAATAAGAGGACCTACTAAAGGTCCCAAGTAGAACCATCCAAAAGCACGTCCACGTTCTGAACATGACATACAAATGATTAATACTCTGCTATATACTAATAAATAATGATGACGCATATTATGTACAAAATTGAGATAATTCACTTGTAGGAATGAATATATCACTTATAGTTCCTGCACCAACACTTAGGACTGCAGATCCACCAAGAGCCTGAAACGAACGCATAACTAATAATTGCCAAATATTATTTGATATAGCACATACTATGCTTGCAACAACATATATTATAAGGGATATTAAATAGACCCATCGTCTTGTTTCGCGGGTATCTGAGTATGAGGCCCAACCAAGTGGCTGCGAATAAACAAATATACATTGTAAACGTTTACGTGATACAAGTATTAGGAATGTTTTTAGCGTATCAAAAAAAAAAAAAAGGTAAAGAAAACATACCATAATGCCCATTAATAAAATGAAAGTCGAGACTGTATAATTAATGCAGACAATCAAATTTTTTAAAAAAATAATATAATTAAATCGCATGAACAAACTGGGTTACTTACTTATAGCATTGGCAAGAACTTGAGAAGTATTTAAATCAACGCTAATTTCGATAAGTGCGGGAAAAAAAATTCTAGACAGAATAATCAAAATTTAATTTCAAGTTTACTGATTCAAAGAACTTCAAGATGATGCTCACGTGCTAGAAATAGGGTCGATTGTTCCTGCCACTGAGATAATGAATACTATGAACTGTTTTTTCATTATCGACCAATTAATTGGATCATTTGATGAAGTATTTTCAGGTTCAATTTCACGAACTTCTTCAGTTTTATCATTCTCAAACGGAGGTTTATTTTTGCTATCATGTGATTGATCATTTTCTGTAGCCATTAGGTTTTTCTGAAAAAATTCGGTTAATAGTGAATTTATTTATCCCTATAAATATCATTTCATCAAAAATAAATTGAATGCTTTTTATAGTAAACTGAAATTTCGGTGAATTTTGAATGACATAACATCCTCTTTGAATTGCTTATGAGATAGTGCTTATTCCAAATATATTATAATTATGAATGTTCATAATAATTACGAATATGTTACAAAAATAACTATGAATGTTCATAATAATTACGAATATGTTACAAAAATAATTATGAATGTCACGGTTTCCTTATGTCAAACAAATCCTGGACCGCAGATTATTTCCGATCAAAATCCTTTTTAAAATTTTGAAACTTCTAGTGAAGATCTTCAATAATTATTTGATCAAATTTGGTAATTGGTCTTATTGGCTGTTCTGCACAGTCTAATAAATATAAAAACCAATAAGTTTATAATTCCGGTCAAAATTGCTGATTATTTGACTAGAACTGAAGCAGGGTTGTAATAACTTACCTGACAATGTAACTTACATTGTAACTTAAATCGTAAGTTACATGACCCTATGTAAGTTACAAAACATATAATTAGTAAAGCAGGCCGACTTTGATATTAATGCCGG